TATATATATATATATATATATATATATATAAAGTGAGTCACGCGATTCGAACCATATCTCCCTATATCAGACCATATCTCTTTTACGATCGATAATAGAGAAATATGGCATGGGAACATTTTTAGAAGCATAAAATGTTTTCTATCTTTTTGTTAACATTAGTTTTTTCACGAATGCGTATTTATAACGTGAAATTGCAATTCGATGTTTTTTTTACATTAGTCAACTGATCTCTCATTAGTTAAAAATTTTTTTTTTAATTCTGAATGATATCTCATATGATATAAAAAATAATTTTCTGCTTACTTATCATTATTATGCATTATAATACATAAATAAATGAAAGCAATTTGTAATTTCTTTTGGAAGAATAATGGATGCTTTTTATTAATTATTTTTAAATTTTTTATAATGTTTCAATTCTAGTAAAAATCATAAAATTATCTCTTTGAATTATACTTTTATCTTCAATAAGATAATTATTTTTCTTATTATTTTAAGATTTTTTTTAAATAAGAATTATTTAAGAGAAGTATATTATACATTTTGTTTTTCAAAATTTATCTTATATATTTGTAACTTTATACATGTAACTTTTATTTCGGATTTATTTTATTAATTTATTAATGTGTACCTTCATGTCTTCTAATTGGTACCATCCGTTACTTTTACAAATACCGTATTTCTATTGATTTCGATCGAGTGAAGCATGCACTTAGTATATTTAACACTATGTTCTGTTCTGGGGTGGCGACAGCATCCGGAAAGAGGAAAGAACGAACGTGTATTGATCGTCACGATTGCTGCTCGCAGAACTGAGAGGGGGTGACCAGCAACCCTGCTGGTAACCCTGTACTATGTGTGCGTGCGCATATACCAAGATCAGTGGCATGCATATATACAGAAGGGGAAGCAAGAACGTTGGAAGGGGTTACTGTGAAGAATAAATCAATATGCCCCTCTACTGATCGGGGCTACATCCTCTAGAAACAGACAGATGGTGGAACGGTAGAGGGTGTTCTAGAACCTACTATTGAAACTTAACATTTCTGCGCTGGTTGAGAACCTCTACTTTATGGCGCAGAGAGAAGGAATAAAGAAACCCGAAGGGAAAAGAAAGAGAGATGACACAGCGGTGGGAACATGGTCGGTCGGAATAAAGGCAAAGACACACAGTCTTCAAGAAAGAGAGAGAGAGAGAGAGAGAGAGAGAGAGAGAGAGAGAGAGAGAATCATGTAGATAGACGAAGAAAGAGAGAACGAGAAAACAAAAATAATCAAGAAAATAAATAAAGTAGGAGAAGGAGAGGGAGAGAGAGAGAGAGAGAGAGAGAGAGAGAGAAAAGGCACGCGCAGTGCTCCATTCAAATCCATCCGGAAATTATTGCCGGCTAACCAAGGACGTCAGGCAGGTCTCCTCCGCGTCCGCGTGTGCACATGTACAATCGTGCACACGTACGTAATGCCATTGCACACACACGCATGCACGATCGTTAGTGTGGAGTTGAAAGATCCCTTCTTTTCTCATCGCTCTTTCGTCTCCGCTCTCTCTGCACATTTCCTACACGCGGCGGTACGCGCAAAATCGCCGTTGCTATTAGTATACGTCGCGGAAAACGTCGCGGCGAACGCCGCCACCGGCCTGTTGGCCGCCCTCAACATCGCGTACGATATCGCGGAGCACCCGCGCGAATGGCCGCCCCCGCGAGCGCACACGCGCGCCTCCAGAACACACATGGACACCCGGCACCTCTCTCCGTCTGCCTCACTGCGCGCTACCCGTCGAAACACCGACGAACACACGGACGTCGAGACGTCGCACATATAGCCGCGCGCTCCGCGCGTCTCGATGGGTATTCGCGTGCGGCCTATTCGCGATACACAATACGTCGGCCACGGCGGCGGTCTCTCGATCCTCTTGCTCTCGTTCGCGCCACAACTCACGTTAACACACGTAGTCGTAACTCACATTCGGTTCCTCACTCGCTGTTCAATTTCACATCTCCTTTCTCATCGTCCCACTTTGTACTTCCACTCGATCGTTCGTTTTCGGCGCGCAACTCGATACTTCCGATAGAAGAAGTGAAGCAACGTACGATCTCAAGAGGAACATCCTCGGAGGAAGATCCACTGATGGAGATCTGTTGTCGTATTGACGCTGGATGGACGATGATGACGCGAACACGATGGACAGCTCACAGTACACGACGCGTCAAGATATATGGGTAAACACGGATGAAGAAAGACGTTTGGAAATGCTACGTTAAATAACTCACCTTTTTGTGTCGTTGACTCGTGTCCAGACTAAGTGTAAAGACACTAACGAAAATCGTTGTTCGAGGAAACGTTATGCTGGTTCGGTTGCAGGTTGTTTCCTCGACGGCTGTCGGGTGGCAAGTGGGTGGCAGGCGGGGTGGCGGGCAGAAGTGGGTGGCTCAGGCGGGTTGGGAGCAGTGGTGTGTGTGGGTGGTAGCGTGAGGGAACCCAATACCACCCTCCTCGCCCATTCAATCCTCCAGTATTAGGGGGAGCAGTCGAGCCTGTTTTCACTCCCCTCCCTCCCACCATACTCCCAACAGCCCACTACACACCAACAGCTGGCGACGATAGACCCGTTTCTACGTGTGTCTGTAGAGTCTGTCTTACATAGATGCATATGCCTACACAAGGTCCGTACGCGCCCTCGACGTCCCAGAAAGTGGGACTTCCTTCCCTACACGTGTTCACGACGCTATTCTAAAAGCGAATTGGTTCGTAAGAAAGGTGGAGTTGCAAAAAGCAGGGAGAAGGGGGGAATCTGTATGAAAAATTTTCAAATCCCTTCTTTGGAAAAAGATCTAAAAATAATAAACGTATGTTTTTGAAGGTCTCTTTGCCTGAGCTAGTACCCTTAATTTGTTTTAAACTTTACTGTATTTCTAAAGAGAAAGTTGTGCGCATTCCAAAATCTTTAGATGCCAGGAAACTTCTTGACAAAGGAAAAAGATTCAATAGATTAGTCACGCGTGATGCGGTCGTAAATTTTGACTATTTTCCAATTTGTAGTAGACATTCCGAAAAAAATGCATTTCAATAGTACCGTATAGTACAATTCCTAATATAATCGTTTGTTATATTTAAACCTCTAAAGAATATTGAACAAGGCTATATTGATTCTAGATAAGACCATGTTAATCGAATTTTTTTATACAAAGAATACAAATAAAAATTATTCTGAAAATCAAAATTTGTGTAATATTTTCAATAATATTTTATTCCAAGATAGACGAATGATGATGACTAACATATATGAATAGAAGATTTTTAATATCATTAGTAGCTTTGTATCTTTAGAAGGCACCGCCGGGATATGCGTAAACGCAGAGCTAGTATACCCAAGGCAAGAACACTGATATCAGTCAGAAGTCTTCGGCCGATAAGCAAGCAGTCGACCAAACCGACTGTTCCTAGAACCAGTTTCGATTCTGGGTCGGCATTCTTGGTTCCCTACCGAGAGTACGAGAGATGTTGTACCAGCACTACCAGCGCGCAGCGGCATTCGCCACTACGGCAACCTTCATTTACATTCCGCCCGGCGTTACCATGTGTAACGTTCCGTGACGCGGGTCTGAAATTAACTTCCAGCGCCCCGTCACTTCGTTATCATGCAGCTGGAGGCCGCCTCGCACACGAACGAGCGCGGATCATTCAACGAGAGCAACCGGAGATACATCTGCATCTGCATCCGAGTCGCAATTTAGGAACGATGGGGTGCATCGGGCCACTGCCGACGTCGCCCGTATTGATCTCTACCTCTGTTCAGACATTCCCTTACGCTCGCGCGTCGCCCGCCCGTCTCTTCCTTACGTAGACACGAGGTGGAAAAAAGAACTGACGGAGGGATGATGATGTCTGGTATTGGCCGCGGTCGCGTGATCGATCGGATGCCGCACCGCGGTCGGAAGGAGGAGATGGTACTTTAGCGCGAGAGAAATTTCCGCTCTCGCACCACAAACGCGGAACTACTTAACTTAAAAGCCGCTAAAATGGCGATGTGCCAAGGACGGCGGTTTGGGGAAGGGGATGGAAAATGAGATTTTCCATGAAAACGTTATATCCCTAAAATATATGACAGGAGATTTTCATAAAAATCTAAGCACGGGTTTACGACCACTACGACAATGCTTGTGTCTATTTATTTTTGCGTACAGGCGCCTTCTTTCAGAATGTGATGATATTTATAATTATAAAAGAGCCTTATATCCATATTTTGCAAAAATATCCTCACATCGTCGTTGCCACAAATGCGATTTGCTTTCGCTTTCTTCTAGTTCTCTTATATCACTTTTATTATTAGCTGTTTATTAATCTATTATTAACTGTGCTTTATATAAGATTTAAAGTTCATCGAGAGAAAGATGATTTCCTATTAAGAACTGATAGTTTTAATTCTCCGCTTGTTCAATATCAATTTTCACCGAAATTTTTATTGAGTAAATGAGACACAAGAAAGATTGAATAATTTTTAAAAATAGAATTACGTTTTACAATTTCATTACTATATAATGTATTAAAAGGACTTTTGTTTTAGCATTAATAATGACTTGAAAACATCGGATCGTAAAATTACTGGATATAGGATATTCGAAAAGAATGTGGCACCGGATATCAAAAATCCGGATATCCAGTAGGGTAATTATTTCTCTCCAATCAGATATCAGTACAAATTTCCCAAATTAAAACAAAAGAAAAAGCAAAGAAAAATAGATAAAGAAAAAAGCAATAATTGTAGAATAGAATTTGTAATACAGTTTCAACATTGCTTAGTAATCAAAGTTTAATATTAATAAATTTTTCAAGCTGGATAATAACATTTCCGGTGACAATTTATTTTGATTATCTGCATAAACCATTGCATAACTGTGCAAAACCATAAACTATGCAAAAAATTCAGCAGAAAAGAATAGCATCAATGCAAACTTTCAATATAAAATTTCAGCCGGATATATTATATATTGCCGGATACTAATGATATGTATCCGAATAGTAAAAAAATACCGGATAATACCAAATACCAAATATTTTCAGGATATCCGGTATTTTTTACCATCTCTAATAATTATAGTCATCATTCAGACTTATTAATGTAAATTAAAACGTGCTTTCAAGCTACTCATTATTTCATTATACTTTGCTCAAATATTCAGCTTTTACGGAGTTACAGCAACCTATTTATCGAACGATTTTGCTTATTCATAACATAGATCCTCTTATTAGTATTTACAAAAACAAATTTTGTTTTTATAAATACTAATTCTCTCTCTCTCTCTCTCTCTCTCTCTCTCTCACTCTCACTCAATGTCATATATACTCAGCAAACGCTAAATATTCTTGAAATGTTCCTAAACCCAAAAAAACATTCTAAGAATACTTCAAAATATTTCGAATATTTGCGATATGTAAAAGAAACATTCAAATGTCGATTAAAAATTTCATTTGTATGTCGTTACATTTCCCGAGAATGTTCCATATATATTCCGTAAAATTTCAATTTTTTCAAAAATTCCAGGTCAGTCCGTTCGTGAATCAGTTTTTAAATAAAATTTTACTTTGAAAAAGAGGAAAATTTACAAGAAACCCCGACAGTTGTAAAAATAAAAGTAAAGCAATTATTACATATCATGTAGGATTAGAAAGGTGGTCTTCAGTACAGGAAGCAAAAAGCAGGCAGAATGAAACGTAAGACAGCTATGAATAATACGAGCTGAAGAGAGCACTAGCTTATGGAAGCAGCAGAGTAAAAGATTTAAGTAAGCGACATTTAATATGAAATGGAAGATCTTCCAAATTTCACAGACTTATATTTTCTCCCAGGTGATTCTTGTTTACGAATAAAGGCTCTTCGTCGCGGCCTTTTGTCGGCGAAAATATACTGCTCGCTCGCTCGCGATTTTTATGAAATATACAAGGAGTATTCACACAATATTCTAAATATTTTATCGACATTTACACATTCTGGGACGATTCTTTTACTGTTTTCCGGAACGTTCAGTACATTGGTATACGAATCAAACTTTCTATGAATATTTAGCGTTAGCTGGGTACGTACTTATTCACTATTAATTATTTTGTTATAGCTTTCATTTTATAGCTCTCTGTGCTTACAATAAAAATACATTTATCTATTGATAATCCCATCATACTTATTACTGTTATCATTAAGGTATCATTTTACTGTAACATTTTGGAATGTTTCCGATTTATTTTATGCTCCCGCTTTATTCTGTATCCTTCATTTTTTTCTATCAAATTATATATTAAGACAAAAAGTCGAAATATTCGCAAGTAAATATTACATGTAACATTTTCTGCGATAGTTATAAAAAAATTTTACTGTAATAACGAAATAGATTTCTGTGAAATATATCATTAATTATAAAAATAAAATAAAATGGATAGTTTATTTTCTAGGAAATTTATATTTGTGTTAAAATTTTATTTCATCGTTTTTACTGAAATAAGGATTTATTTCAGCAAAATAAATATAATATCTCACAAATAAATTTTTAAGTATTTTTTTTCAGTGTCACGCGGGGGTGGATGATGTACACAGATTTTTCCTTCATCACGATCCTTTATACAAGGATTGCGATCGCGGTGAATTATAGTTGTAACCCAGAACAACGAAAAATCTAAAATCGATACATAAAACGTCTTAAAGATATCTTTAAGACATCTTTAAAAAATGTCTTTGAGATGTCGTATGCGTCTCGCTTTTAGACGTACGTGTTGTCTGAAAACGTTTCGTAATAATGAAGGATCACGAGAGTATCGGCGGTTCATTCGCACGCAAGGATCACGAATACGAGCACCGCTGCACTTCACTTGCGGTACTCGTACATCGGCCGATGACTATCGCATCAGCTTCGGAGTCGGCGTTCTGTGATGGTAACAGCATCGGCGTCGGCGCGGCGTCCGCGGAGCGCTAGGTAGCTTCGCGTCGCGGCGCTTCGCGTCGGCGTCGCTGGAATCGTCCGCGAAACGGGCAGACAGTGGTGGCCAAGGCACCGTGTAAGCGCGTGTAATCGCCATATTGGCCGAACTCCGAACGATAGCACTTCGCGGGTCGTGGAGCTTTAAAGCTTCCGCGGTTTTTGCTCTTCCGACCATTGCCCACGTCGGTACGGTCATAATAACGGGAGAGGTACATAAAGTGGAGCGAGGGCGAGCGATCCCTGTGCGGAAAAAGAGGCGGCGAGGAAAGGACACGCGATAATACCGGATACGCCTTCGAACGCCGCATCGAACAGCGAAAAAGAGCTAGAGAGAGAGAGAGAGAGAGAGAGAGAGAGAGGGAGAGAGAGAAAGATAAGGATAAGATATAACACGCGGACATAGCAGTGACAAGTGTTATACGGATACGCGTGACATAAACCAAGGCAAGGCAGAATCGCAGCGATCAATCGCGGGGCGGTGCATTCAAATATCAATATCGATCTTTCTATATTCTGAGTATATATCTCTCTCAGACTGTATCCTTCGAAGATTACTTTCGTCAGTTTCGTCCGCAAACTTCCGCGTCGGATTCTGCGTCGCTTCCATTGTTATCACATTTCTCGGTTCTCACTTCCGACGAAATTTCTACGAAAGTAACGTGTGCTCTGAAAACGGCACAGACAGTATGTCGTTTGAAATCATGCAAGAAAAGATCGACGATTTCCAATATAATTATCAATAAATTTAAATCTCTTCCTGAAACTAATCTTCCTAAGAAGTTTTTCCATCCAACCGATTTCGCGGAGGCAAGGATTAACGCTCGAGCGGAAGTCTTTCGACAGGATACCAAGCGGTCAATCGACGAGAAGCTAGCACGAAGATAGCCTTCAGCAGTCTACCTTGCCGGCGTGACAGTGCGCGAGTTCGTCTCTCCCTCTGGTCTCCAAGCTGCCAATCA